GACTCTGGCGCTATAGAAACTCAAAAGACCCAACTGAGCAAACCTACTTTTGAAGGTACGTGGAGGATGTCAGTGTGTGCAGAAGTAGCTGTACAGGAAGGAGAATTTAGCTGCCAATAGTCTTCTGTGTTCCTGACTCAGAAATACTGACTGCTTAAGCATTTAAGCTGATTGAATCACATTCTTAGCAAATAGCAGCATGATTATATACCTGGGCTACGAGCTTTCTGATAAGATGATGTGAAATTTTGCTTTTCAAAGATTTTTAAAAATACATTCCAACTAGAATGCCATTGGTACAAGAGTAAAATCTGCCTACATTTTAACCATTTGTAGGCAAATTATATGAGTCTTGGTACTTGTCAGAGACCACTGGGTTGTCGTAAATCATGGTGTTCACATTCACCCACAGCATTTAAAGGCTATTTTTATTGTGGCTAATTTTCTTTGAAGGTAGGCCTGCTTCTATTCCTAAATACTCCAAATACCTTTTTCTAATAGCAGTTAAGAAAATAGGTTTTGTCTGTATTATCTATTGCTCAGAATGTAGTTTTCCTGTGTGTGGCATTAACCAGTTCATCCAGTGAAGCTGTTCTGCATCTTGTTACCTGGCTACCGGCTAAGAGGCAAGGATTAAACTGCTGCAACTTGTCATTATCACCCACTAAAGATAAGCATTTGGCAGGACTTAAACCCTTAGCATTACAGATTAATATCTAATAAAAATGCTCAGACTACCAAATCTGTCATTTTCTGAAGTTTTAAAAAAGAATTTCTTTCCTAGACTTTTTTTCCCCCTAGAAATAGGCTTTTTTTCTTTCTTAGCATAATCCTGTCTGTGGCTTGACTGCTGTTGATGCTTAAAATCGAAAAAATGAATTGCCTGTTTATGACTGTCATTGTTTATAGAGGAATTATATGCTCTTCTCACACAGAGTTGTGATTCTGTTGACTAACCCTTTGAACGTTCCCACAATCTAGGTTTTATGGAAATTATTTCAGAGGCTGTTGGGAGAGAAGGGGTTGGGCATGTGTAAAAGGGGTGGGCAGCTCCCGTTCAGACACGGAGTGCTGTGGGAGTAACAAAGACAGCTAGAAGACAGCGACTTGTGGGGAAGGCAGGCCTGCACATCGCATTCCCAGCTTGCTTTGCATTTGTAGGGTTGTAGGCCTACTCATGAAATCTGACCCGCGCAGGGCCTGTTGGACTCGATTTGTTGGCCTGTCCTTAGAATCTTGGTGTAAAGCATCCTTTCCTCAGAGAGGCCTTCTCTGATCACTGGGTCTTGGGTAGCCCTTACCCTGCCTTGCAGATAGTGCCTGTTTCATTTTATGGATTAGCTCACTGAGCGCCTGGACCAGGATTTCAGCAGCTTCCAGCTAACACCTCACATGCACTGGGCCCTCACATATGATAATTGGCCTGAGGAGCTTGATTCCTGTGAGTTCATCTGCTGCGAGTGACTCTCATCCATCTGTTTCTTCCTTGGTGTGTCTGATGTTGGCTCGACAGACCACCCCACATCTGATCGTTCATTTCAAACTGTGCCCATTGTCTCTTTATTGGCAAAGCAAACAAAAATAAAACAGTGTGTGTTTTCATTTCTGGCACTGGCAGTGACACTAACTGATGCCTGTCTCTGCCCATGGGTGGAGTAGTGGGGTGACTCTCCTCCCAGCTCCTCATTGGCCCATCCTCCACCCTCCATTCTCCTGGGAAGTCCAGTATGGATTTTGTCTGCTAGTTACCTTTAGCCCAGTGGGCAGCAGCACAGGACTCGGCATGTGACTAATGCCCTTAGAGACCTTGGCTGGCTGGCCAGCTGGGTGAGCACCGGCTGAGCTCTCCCCAGCCCCTGCCCCACCCCCGGCCTCTCTGCCTTTTCTGTTTCTGCAGTGGTGTGTCACCTAGCAGTCAGCTGTTGGTGTCCCCAGTGGTGAGTGGTTTTAAGTATGGTGCTTTCGCTCCATAATTATGACCTGAAGAACTTATCTGTTTCTTCTTTGTTGTCATGTTAAACCTCAAAATTTCCTCTGTGTGTGTGTGTGTGTGTATGTGTGTGTTAGTGTTATGTGGTATGTGGTGTCGTCCAACACAGAGCTGATAGAGTGCAAGATTGCATGAAATGAGCAGAACAAATACATTATATTGGCTCCTGTAGGTTTGATGGCGAGTGAAAACACTTGATATTCTGCTACTTTAAAAAAAACTAGACACTGTATTTTTAAACTTAAAAGGTATTTCTATATCGGGAGAAAGAAAAATATTTCCACTTTTGTGACCCAGGGATTAGAAAGACCATGTAGCTAGTAGCTCACAAATACCATCCGAACTTGTAGTTAAATGTAAGCACTTGTTGCATGGCCAAGAGTTTTTGAGTAAAGGTCTTTCAGATCATTTAGTGTGATTTCCTTTTCTTTACTGCCAAACATACTATAAGGCAATTATTCAATAATTTTCTAATTAGGATTATTCTTAGTTATTATGTGTACCGCATACTTATTTTTTTATATGGTCAGGTATATAAATTGTAACTTTCAATTTGAGATTTTATTATAGGTTGGCATCTAATTTTCCTCTGCATATTTTGGCTTCTTAATTTTATGTGTAAATTTCTTGTGGTCAATTGCTGTTTTTTATTGCCTTTGTACCTTTCTGTTCTGCGCATAGGACCAATAAGAGTACTGGGAGAGGTAATAATAGCTGGCATTTATTGAGCACTGTCTATTGCCTCATGAATTCTAAGCTTGATGTGAATAATTTAGTCTTATGAAAGACCTGTGAAGTACTTTAAAAAATATCTATTTGTAGATAAGGAAACTAAGGCATTGCAAAGTGAAGTAATTTATCTGAAATTATACAGCCAATAAGCTGGTGAGGCAGGTTTTGGCCTGGAATCTGGAGTCCTTTATACTGTTCTAAACTTTGATCTACTGAACTGAAATACTGATCTCAGTATTTGATGATTGGTTTAAAACTGATGTACACCAATTTATTCTTTGTTTTTTAGCAGTAGTATCTTAAGGAACATAAAAGAAATTATTTTGTCAGAATAGCCAACATTAGGTTTCCCTATATTAATATCTCTGCTTTTATGGTACAAAGAGGATGGGGAAGGCAAGAGATGCCCCAACATCTAGATTGGTCGCTTTGACCAGTCAGGGAACTTGTTCTGAGGAAGTGGAAACAGGCCTTTAGTGCCTTGAGTTTGTCCGTGCCTCTTCACTCTTCTCTCCATTAACTGTGACAGTAAAAGTTTGGTGTATTTGATTAGGTGAACGAGAACTTACTTGGGCCTTTTATTTTTCATTTATATTTTTTTGGAGGAAAGAAAAGGCAGATTTAATTACTACCCTGCAAGGGAGCAGGGGATGAGACCGAGATGTCATCTGCACCTAAATAAGGGCTTGAGGCTCTCTTTTATACTTTCTTGGGGTGCCACTTTGTGCCAGTTATATGCTAAGATGTCTTGTCTTGGGCATTCACCTTTGATATAGACTGTGCCTGACTCTGCTTCTGCATTCCTGGGGCTCTGCAGGTCCTGGTCAAGGTGATCAGCCTTATGTCCCAGTTCCCATGGCAACCTTATCAATTCCCCTATCTCGTCAAGCCCTCCAAACTTGCTTGCTGGGCAAGGCCTGGGGGCTTAGTCTTTGATCACAGTAATAATATCCTGGTATTTCTCCCTCTCTCAAGAGGACAATGGCAAATCTTTGTATGTGGGATAAAGGTCTGGCTTCTATAGCTACTTTGAGCTGAATTTTGGGGTGTAGGTCCTACTTAAATTTTAGGTCCTACCTAAATTATTGTCAGCTTGGAAACTTGGGGAACCAGGCACATAAGGGAATGAGATGGTCACCCTTGGACTTTTAGGCCAGGGTCAATTTTAGCTGTTACATGTTGCTCCAAGAGACCACGGGTGGTGCCAGCTGTCTAAAATGAGCTGCTCAACAGTCCAGTTCCGTGATTTCTGTAGCCGCATGTGCCTCTGGGTCTCAGCACTCTGTAACTGATACTGCATGACTGGAGAATGTGGTTTGATGGTCTATAAATGAGATGAAACTAAACAAAAATATTAAAAATGCAGGGTCTTAAAAAGAACCTACTGAAGGAATTTTGTTTAAGAGGTTGTACTTCCTTTTGGACTTTCATCTTGAGGGGACATTGTAGTCCAACAGAGGAAAGGGACAGGAAGGCAAGACCAAAAATGAGTGTGTAAACATGTGGGCTTGTAGTGAACAGGGCGGCAGTGCTGTAAAGTGTCTGGCTTAGGTTGGCCGTCAATATCAGTGAGGAGGATCATCAACTGGTAGGTTGGTCCAGAGAATTGGATCCAGGTAGAGTAAGCGCCCCCAAAACCACCAAGAAGGTGACCTCTTTGTCTGCCACTTTAGGGTCACCTGAGGCTCATCCATAGAGATAGTAAATAGGGGAGTCCATCTCACCCCACTGCAGAAGAGGAGTTCTTCTTCTCCCATAATGGGCTCTTTACAGTCAATGACCATAGTCAAGCCAGGTGATGGCCATCTGCCTTCCAATCTGGCCCATGGTTTGGGCTGGCCCCCTCCCTGTCTGGGCAGTCCCTCTTCCAATGTCCTGTGCAGAGGGCATGACCCTGGGGGCAGTCTCTTCAGACACTCATGACTGAGGTGTCCCGGTTGCTGACAGCAGGCTGGGGACCCTTCAGGAAGCTGAGGTCCCAAATGTCCCAAATGTATTTGGGCATTTTATGGTGAAAATTCTCTGTGTGTAAAATCTTTTTAATGTGGTTAATGAGAACTTGATACATGATGACAGAGAGATAAAAGTAAAATGAATTCTTAAAGTGTTTTTGGACAAGTAGAACCGGATAGCCAGCAAAAAGCCTGGACTACTCCACTGTCGTGAAATTTTTCAATGCCTTCATTGGTCAGCCAGCTGTTGAGTCAGAGGGTTGGCCTTTGGGAATTCTGGAAGAGTCCTGTCTTCATGAAATGAGCATATTGTTCTCTTCTGACAGAGTTCAGCCTGAGGAACCAACAACAGGGGACAATGCAAGCCCACGAATTGTTTCGGTATTTTCGAATGCCAGAGCTGATTGACTTCCGACAGTACGTCCGCACTCTCCCCACCAACACACTCATGGGATTCGGCGCGTTTGCAGCACTCACCACTTTCTGGTACGCCACGAGGCCCAAAGCCTTGAAGCCACCATGCGACCTCTCTATGCAGTCAGTGGAAGTGCCGGTAAGTGGAAGGGCTTTCCCTGCATTTCCCCTGACGAGTTAAACCTCATTGAATGAGATATTGGCCCAGAACACAATAGTGTCAACAACAGCAGTTGTCGGATGGTGATAAATGGAAGTGGAGGCCAAAATAGAGAGTAGAGATGCAAATGAAGTGGTGTTGGTTGGCTATCTATCTACTGGACCCCAGGCTTATTCCAGAAACCACATGGGGCTTTTGCCCTGTGCTAGGCTCTGCAGTAGGCCCAGAGGATTCCACAAAGGAATAAGGACAGGCACTGGTTTCTACTCTCACAGGGCTCATATTCCAGAAGAAAGGAGGGTGTCAAGCAAATGTTACAGAAAGAAGATTTCTACTTGTGGTACATCTGATATTAGAAGACATCCCCTAGCTGTTGAAGGGGACTCTGGGAGTTCAAATAGGATAAAGCTAGACTAGGAACTTGGCTGCAGATCTCAGCATAGGACACGAAGAAATAGCGACATTCAAGAGGCACCTGAGGCTAAGCTGTTGCACGCCACTGTTGTCTATCACTTGGGCTTACTAAAGGTCATGCTGTCATGAAAATTAAGCCACAGCGTATATTCCCTAAGTAGGGCTTCATCTTGGGAAATTCAAAGACCCCTTTCAAGAGATGCCTTTTCAGTGCCCCTGCCTCCTTTTCCTTCTGAATCTCTTGTCAGGGTCTCTGAAAAACCTTTTCAAGGTTGAAATATGAAGAAGCCCAATTCTCCTGGTATTTGATCTCATCACCTACTCTAGGCTTTGTAGCTTCTGTTTGCCCCTACAAAGCAAGAATTAATTTTCAGCATTTCAACATATATAAAAGAAGAATGTGGTGAGAGAATCACTTTATTTACTGCTTTTAGATGCAGAGGTTAAAGGCCTTTCCCTTCTCAGACTGATGGTCGCAGGGAGGAGAGTGGGCCCGTCTCTGCATGCTGTGTAGAGGGTCGTAGTGCTTGGGTCCACTAACGTGAAACTCTTAAAATATAAAAAGATACGTCAGTCAAATTCATGTCAAAATGTGAAAATAGAACTACTGCTAAGGAAAGTTGGCTTTATATTAGAAGGTAATGACAGTATTTTCCCTCAGCTAATCACATACCAATAATGAGTAGTTTAATTTTTTATACATTTGAGGTGTTGGGCTTTGCTTCTCTTCTGCCAGAGGGCCTGATAGCTCATGTTAGCAGTTTCCATTGCTCTGAACAGGGGACTTGGCAAGCGCAGATTTAAGATATTTATATCTTAGCAGTGACTGTACATTTAAAAAGCCTGATTCTCATTGTATAAGAAATTGTAGACGTACTTACAGTGAGATTTTGAAGTTCCAATTTAGCATAAAGTCATTGAACCTTATTAAAAAAATCATAAAATTTCTTTGTAGAACAATTTAAAATTACAGATAAGCAAAAGGAAAACTAAAATTTGTAATTTCACTGCCTGGTGAATGAGTTTGCTGATTTTTCTCTTTGCTTGTCAAAATAGATAGAGCTCTGATTTTGAGAATTTGTCAGTCTGAGGAATAGACACTTAATTTGCTTTGCAATTCTAAAAAAGAACCTAAACTATTGAATTTAAGATTAACTTTGTAGTTATGATGCTTAGTACTTATAGATGCTTTTATACAGCTAGCATCATCATGTGAGCTTGTATAGAAAGAGGAACTTAATTCATTAAGATTTAATCAAGACCCTGTATATCTTGCACTGTTGTAGGGTCTGGTCACCAGAATAAAATGATGTTGCTTTTTCCCTACTTTGAAAACAAGCAAGCGCTCTTTGTCCATCCCCCACCATATTCCCTCCCATTTTATATACACGCTCACCCCCTTCATCCCACAGCTGTACGTGGATGTTAAAATGAGAGTAGTCTGCACTTGGGGTTCGGCTACATCACTACCCACACAGCAACTTCCCAGCTACTCTCTTTAAAACAAAAACAAAAACAAAAACCGAAGCATCAAGGTTCTTTATAAGTTACAGCTTCTAAAATCAGGAAGGTAAAGACCTATGGCTGAAAAGGCCATCAAGGCATAAGCGATGGGGTGGGACAGGGATGCTGAAGTTGGGGATAGAAGCCGAAAGGTCTTTCTTACATTTAAAAAGCCTGGTTTGAGCAAGACCCTATTTAGAGAGCTATGTTCCCTTGTCTGCAGTTCCTGCTCCCAGCCTGAAACAGGTCTTTCTGCTGTTGCCCCATAACTTTGAGAAGTGGATGGGGCGCATGTGAGTGTGTGTGTGTGTGTGTGTGTGTGTGTGTGTGTGTGATGTCTTTCAATGAATGAGTAGCAGGGTGTCTGATTTTAGCTTGCCTTTTCTTTCCTCTGAGGTTAAGATCCCATGTCCCCCTGGAGAAGGTGACCTTCACTGGTGTGACTTGAGACCCTTTGGATTTGGGCGGGGCCCAGACCTTGGTAGGTGCAGTGAAGGGAAAAAGTAGAGCATGCTGGCACCGAGAGGGACCACAGAGGCCAAGAGACATGCCAGAGGCTGGGCTGACTTCTCTGCTTAGACCAGGCAGCTTTGGGCAAGTTCAGCAGACTTTCCTGACGTTCAGCTTCCTGACCTGGAAAACAGAAGAGACAGTATGGCCTCCCTCTGTGTTGTTAAGAGGACTGTGTAGATATATGCATGCGGGGTGTCTGGTTGGCCATAGTGAGTGTTCCATAAAAGTTCATTTTCTTCTCCCTGGAAGGTCTTCTCTTTTAACCTTCACATTTTATACACAAGAAAACTGAGTCCAAAGAGGTGAAGTTATATCATACGATGAATGGAAGATCTAGAACTCTGCTATGCTATCTTCATTACAGTTGTTGAAAGTAGTAATATAAGCCAGGTTCTTTGGCAGGGGTGATAAACACAGACATGAATAACAAGGAAAGATTGTATCTTCTAGATAAACTGGGAGAGTTAGTGGCTATGGCCTCTAAACCCAGGAGCAAGCTTTTTTGGAATGGACATGTGAGCAAATGTATTTGGAGGTAGTGATGGAATAGGAGGAGGAAAAAGGAAAGGTAAGACGAGGAAGCTGCTAGCGCAGAGCTGTGGGAGTTGTCCAAGAAGAGCAGGTCACAGCACCGACTTGGGCCTGCTGGGTCAGTAGGGAGAATGGCAGGACCACCTGTAAGAGTGGGCATTTGAACAGGTGCGGTAGCCGGTGAACACTAAGGGGAGGGGAGAAATATTAGGAGTCTGGTTGTTTCTGCCAGCATTTATAAACACAGCAATAAACATACATATGAATATAACCCTGGGAAACATCAGAACAGTCCATGTGAGACTATGGAAGAATCTCCTGCTTGGATACTCGGACCTCATTGCTGTCTGTAATCCTTGTGTGAATTTTGGCTGTTTTTAGGCGTTATCTTTCATTTACTTACCATGTGTACTTGTGGGTCCTTGACCACTGTTCCCCACTGCCTGGCCACTCTTGTTTCTGATTGCAGAATAATTGTGTGTATGGTCAAATAAAGATGTGGACAAAGGTTGGCAACCCTGCCCCTAGCAACTTTGCTGCCATGTCACTTGCTTTCCTGAAAAGTGTGATGGCATTTGAGGGCATTTTCAGTAAGCAGTCCTAGCAGTTGGGGAGGTCGGGGTGGGAGGAGCAGACGGAGAGGATGCTTTTGTTTAGAAATGTTATTCTAGCAGTGTGTGAAAATGAGCATCTTCATTCCTTTAGGTAGCTTCAGCACCTTTCCTAAAACTTAAAGGGCTTCCTGGTAACAAGCCTTGAAAACCCTTGTGAACTTAATTTTTGTTGCTAAACTCACATCATATTAAACTTACTTGAGTTCTCTCTGTGGTTACACATGTCTGCTGACTTGAAGTGACTAGTGACTTGAATGAGGTGGTAGCAGTGTCAGCGCAGGTGACAGGAGCAGTGACCCCTGAGTAAGATGCTTTGCCAGGTGAGGGCTGGCTCTCCCTGGGACCGAAAGCAGAGTTTCTGACCTTCGTGCCATGACCAAGTCACAGAAGTATTAAGTGACTGCCTTGAGAAATTCCAAGAATGAAAAGTGATTGCTTTAGGGGGAAAAAAAAAAAAAAACATTTTAGAGGGCCTCCCTGGTGGCCTAGGGGTTAAGTCTCAGTGCTATCACCAGTACAGCCTGAGTTCGATCCCCGGCTAGGGAGCTAACCCACATATGGCCCAGCAGACCTCTCCTGTCTCACCCACTGCTCCCCTCAGCAGTGTATTTCAGTAAATCATCCTGTTCTGCTCCCCACTCTTTCTCTGGTGAATCCTCTCCCCCCCTCTCCCCCACACCTCTAGTCCACACCCCAGTTATATACAACAATAAATAAATAAAATCTATTTTTTTAAAAAAGAAAAAACATTTTATTTTCAATTTCACTTTAATCAGGAAGTAAACACCCATGTTTGCCCTTTAGGAAAGCAGTAAAGCAGGTCTGAATACACAGTTTGATTTTGTAGAAATGATGCCACTTTTCACAGGCTTCATTAGGCAGGGAACATGTGTACATAAAGATGACAGAAATATGTGCTGGACTATTTATTTAAGTTTAAAAATAGCCTCCCTCAAACAGGGTCAACCTGTACCGAATGAAAAATGACCCCCAGAGGCCTTTCTCCTCTAGCGACATAAAGCCCCACTCCACACTCATGCCCGAAAGGGTAGGGTGCAGAGACTGGGTCCCTTCAGACTAGTCCAAAGTGAAGCAGATGCCTGACATTTCCTAAGTGTAGAGATGCTGTAGCAGTCGGGTTTGCTGGATCTGTGTGTTTGTGGGCATTTGGGTGTGGTGACTCAACTTTCCTCTCTTTCACTGAGGTGGGAGGATGCTGTTTCCCTGTCTGTGGTTGGCTGCTGGTTTCCAGTGGTGAGATGAAAATGTGTTGGCCTCCTCCCAGCCCTTCAGCAAATCCTCCCCTTGGGGGTAGTGGGCAGTTCAGGAAGTTGAACTCTGGAGAATGAACAAGGGGAGAGGAAAGTGCTGAAGAACCAAAAAACCCAGCTGGCACCTGCTCTG